GTGCCAGTTATTCTACTGAGAAACTTGCATCCTCCTAATTTGTGCAATGGGACACGGCTTAGAGTCCGTAGCCTTCAAAGAAACTTAATTGAGGCAGAAATTCTTACTGGATGTGGCGTTGGAGAGATGGTTTTTGTTCCCCGAATTCCACTAATCCCCACCAATTACCCGTTTGAATTCAAACGTATCCAATTCCCATTGGCAATTTGCTTTGCCATGACAATAAATAAGTCACAAGGCCAAACTCTGAGTACTGCTGGGATTGAGTTGGGTGCGTCTCAGTGTTTTTCTCATGGACAACTATACGTCGGGTGCTCACGAGTGAGATCTCCTGCAAACCTCTACATACACGCCCCAGGAGGCCGGACCACCAACGTTGTATATGAAGAGGCTTTGCGATAGATAACAAACTACCCTTCATGTTTTTATTTATTTTTTATTATTTATCATTTATGTTATTTTTTTGTACATGTTTTGAATCAAAATTTGAAGTGTATTTTTTGTATTGTCAATCTCTTTCATGATTTTATAAACATCAATCTTTTTCACTATGCTTAATATCTCGACAGACAAAATTTAATTTATCATAAATGTTTTTTTTGATGGTATGTAAGTCTTATTTTAAACAAAATCCGTACGAAGGACGGGTACACTAGCTAGTATATTTATATATATATTTATATATATATATATGTGTCCGTTAGCGCGATAACTCGAGCAAAAATCATCCGATTTTGATGAAACCTGGTACAAACGTGTAAACCTACGTTTATTCGAACGAGTTCGCGAACCAGCATGATCGGACCATGGGAACGGGGGTTTATGGGGGCTTTTATGGGGTAAAAATGGGTTTTTCCCATTTTTGACCCAAAAAACTTAATTTTTGCAACTTCTTTCCAAACTGTTTTGTAGAGCTTAAAAAAACAAATAATTTAGTATATTGAAGCGTTATAATGCGCCTAATGGTTACGGAGAAAATTCAATAAAATTGTAAATTTAAAATTCCCATGTTATTCTTATGGAGGATAAGTAAACTGTTGTAGTTTGCTTATTTATTAACATATTTTGCCCAAATTTGGAAAATGTTTTTATTTCTTACTAACTATTAACATTTTACATAAAAAACACTTTAACCCTCCCTGTTGCAGCAAACCTAAGTATGTGTTAAACTGATTCAATTTTAATAGGGAATAAATGTGATATTTTTAAGGAGACATTTTAGTGTAAATCCAATCAGGCAAATGGAAATTCGCTTAGTCTGCAGGTTTGCTGCGGCGGGGGTATTGTTTTTACGAGGGTTAGGGAGCTGGAATTTTCCCAGGACATTTTTTAAACCTACTTTATAAATTGTGTTAAGTTTCAAAATGTTCGGAGCAAAATGAGCAAATAATTTTAAATCAAACGTTTAAACCCCTTCGTGGGACACTCTGTATGTGTGTTTACTTGATGTTAAATTAAAATTAGGAGACTTGGCTGATAGAAAAGATTTCCATCCTCATTACACTAGATCTAACTCTCTTCTTGAAATTCCGTCCCATAGACTAAGTAGATGTACCAGTAACCATTCAATCATGAGCTTAAAGTTATTATAATGTATTGCACTCTGAGTCAAGAGCGTTGCCTGAGTTGGTTTTTAAAGATAGGCTATACAACTGGCTTGTTGAACATACTTTTTATGTGATTAAAGAGTTTTTTGATATAAAAGTTGTTAAGTTTTGATGTTTTAATAGTTAATCTAGTATATTCTCCGCCCAGCCTATAGCCTTCTTTTTACTTTTAAATTTTTACCTGTTATTTTCTGTGATATTAGCTTATTAATCTAGTCTGACTGTGTTACTGTGTAACCCTATTTTACCATAATATGTGACCATGTCTATTGCAAGATTGTTTTGCTTAAGGACAATAAAGGATTTCTGATTTCTATTTGAGCCAGCCATGCCTTTAGTTACTACATAATAAACACAATGAAGCAAAGGAAATCTATCATTTCTGTTAGAGTTTAGGAATCCACCAGATTTTTTTAAAAGTAATTATCAGTGAATTATGTATATTAAGTGTTGATATCAATTTCACGCTCAGTAAGCTAGTTACATCAGTCATAAGATCAACAAAGTCCTTTTCTTCTTAACAACATTTTTTTTAGCGACAAGTTTTTAGCGAATTTCCCATATAGGGAATAAGCTATTACCGTAGTACTCATGGTAAGACCTGGACCCGGGACCGATTTACTATTTCGTATGAGGTCCCTTAAGGCTAAAAACACCATCCGTTCAAATTCATATATATGTGTCCGTTAGCGCGATAACTCGAGCAAAAATTATCCGATTTTGATGAAATTTGGTACAAACGTTTAAACCTACATTTATTCGAACAAGTTCGCAAACCAGCATTATCGGACCATGGGAACGGGGGTTTATGGGGGGTTTTATGGGGTAAAAATGGGTATTTCCCATATTTGACCCTAAAAACACAAAATGTCACAATTTCTTTCCAAACCATTTTGTAGAGCTTAAAGAAATAATTTTGTATATTGAAGTGTTGTTGTATGCCTAACGGTTACAGAGATAATAAAAAAATTAAACTAAAAACTCGCATGTTATTCTTATGGAGAATAAAAAAACTGTTGTAGTTTGCTTGTTTATGGATATATTTTAATCAAATTTGGCAATTTTGTTTGTTTCATTCTAAGCTATCAAGATTTCAATAAAAAAATAACACCATTATACCTTACCTGTTGTAGCAGCAAACCTAAGTACCTACTCATTAAAATAATGTTATTTAAATAGGAAATAACTCTGACAATTTTAAGAGAATACTTAAGTAGAAATCCAGCTCGGTTAGTGGAAATTCGCTTAGACTGCTGGTTTGCTGCGGCGGGGGTATTTTTTTTTGTGATGTGTGATGATACCAACATAGCTGGCAAAAGGTCTCATGAAAATAAAAATTCAAAAATATTGGTGTTTTTTTTTCTAATTTGAATACAGTAACCCAATATTACCAGTTCTTGATGAAGACAATCATCTGTCAAAATCCATTAAAGAGAAAGCAAAAGTTGGTAGTTTTTAGCAAAAGCTGAAAGAATATGATAAACAGACCAGTTCACTAGGGACGTTTTACTTGTTGCTCCATCTAAGAAGAGAAATCCGTTCATCCCAAATTTTATTATAAATCTATAAATAAATTAATAATTAATGTTACTACTGTATCAGGTTACTCATTTCAAATACTGTTCATCTACTTGAAGCTATTTAAATGTAAAAAACTGTAGGCTAACATGATAAAGTTTTTATTGATTAATTGATTGATTTAATCAAATAGTTATCAGTCAGAATCGAAAACCCAACATGTATTAATATGAACTAATATTAATGTCATGTAAAAAAATTAAGGTATGCCATTTTGAAATCAACTCTTGGAGACTGTAATAGGTTAAATTAATCAAGTCTTAGTGGAAGTTTTTGATGATATTTATTTTACTGTGTAGTTTGATAGGAACATATACATGATACACGACAAATAAAAAGGTTTTATAATTCACTTAAAGACAAGGTTCTTGGCTTTCCACTTCTACAGCAGCAGTATTCCAGCAACATAGAAAAAACTAAAAATCTGTTGAAAATTGCATTTTTGTCCTTTACTACACATACTGTATGCTGATAACCAAACATACTTCAATTAAATTTACACTTTTTATTTAAATTTGGATGGGAAGAATTTTTAAAACAGCACATAAGTTCCATAATGATAAGAGTAAAATGAAAATACAAGATAACTATAAAAAGATATGCATTTGCTGCACTTAAATGGAATTTAAATCCCAACAACTCCTCAGTGTTATTTCTAGAGTTCCATTATTCCTCTGTTGTTGCTCTGTACCTCAACTTGTTTGAGGGAAAGTCGTAACATGCATGATGTCTGCATATTGTTAGACTCATGTGATTACTTTCGATGTTGGACTCTTCAGGACTTGTGTATCTTAACTTGTGGCCTCCAATCACCTCCATCTTGACAGAGTACTTGGTGTCTGGCTTCAAGGTTATGTTTCTCCCATCAACAGCTAGAGGAATCTGAAACTTCACCCCATACTTGACATGCTTACTGAAGTTATCCAAGGTTACTGGAGGTTCTTGCTCATTTTTGTTGGTCCGCTCAGTTATTGTTGTTGAACAGGTGTTAACTTCATATGTCCAACCTACAGGGTCCCCTGGTGTATGATCAAGTGATTCACACTGTAGTGGTAACAGCTCAATCGCATTCTTTTGGGTAGTCAGGTAAAAATTGTAAACTTGTTCAAGTTCTTAAAACTTGTCCCATCCAACATCATCATGTCTAGTTGACCAAGAACAGACTTTGTTTTGTTCAGTTTCCTTTGTTTAGTCTCATTTGAAAACACGCCAACTGAAATAAGGACAACTGACTGCTCGGGGTGCTTCTCAAGCGGTTCTCTCGTATCACTCCTAGTGTCGGGGTTGAGAACTACGGTCATCCCCTGCACATGACACCACCACGTCCAGCGTTTGGTGCTGTCTTTGGGTGTACCAAATGTAGGCTATTTGTGATGGTCGTGAGAATACTACCCCCCCCCCCTTTAAAATTTGTCCCGTTACAAACATATAGATTATAAGAATCATAAACTTGTTCTGATATGTGCAGACTCAATTCAAACAAAGTCATCACTTGTTGAAAGTTGATGTTTGGGACTCAGTTAAATTAACTTTCACACGATCATGAAGGAGATAAAAATCTCAAGGACATATTTTTTTCATTTGTAACCATTATTTATACGAAGGAAAAGTCCCTTAGTTGTCATTGGCTTTATGGGGTATTAATTAACAGCTGTGCCTAAGGAATATGTCATCCTTAGTCACTAACAAGACTACAAGATCGCGCCATTCATCCTACACTCATCTCCATTCTTACTTGGCTTAAAATACCTACGTTGTATGGTCGACATTTCAATGAAAAGTAAAATATTTTAATAAGGTTATGTTTTTTCCTAGCTGACTCTGAAGATGGACAGCTGGTCCGCCAACAACTCTCAGGGTTGATTCAACAGTTAAGACCTGACTCATTGACTCCAGAAGACAAACTGGAAGTAATTTCTTCAGGTGTTTTAAACACAGAAGAAGTTCTGAGTATAAGTCGTTATCGGAATAAAAAGAAAACCCCTCCAACTCTTGGCGAGTTTTCAAATGAGACTAAACGAAGGAAAGTGAACAAAATAAAGTCTGTTCTTGGTCAACTGGACATGATGATGTTCGATGGGACAATTCTTGAAGTACATGAACAAGTTTACATTTTTGACCTGACTACCCAAAGACATACAATTGAGCTGTTACCACTACAGTGTGAATCACATGACCATACACCAGGGGACCCTGTAGGTTGGACATATGAAGTGAGCTGTTCAACAACAATAACTGAGTGGACCAACAAAAATGAGCAAGAACCTCCAGTAACCTTGGATAACTTCAGTAAGCATGTCAAGTATGGGGTGAAGTTTCAGATTCCTCTAGCTGTTGATGGGAGAAACATAACCTTGAAGCCAGACACCAAGTACTCTGTCAAGATGGAGGTGATTGGAGGTCACAAGTTAAGATACACAAGTCCTGAAGAGTCCAACGTCGAAAGTGATCACATGATTCTAACAATAAGCAGACATCATGGAAGTTACGACTTTCTCTCAGACAAGTTGAGGTACAGAGCAACAACAGAGGAATAATGACACTCTAGAAACAACACTAAGGAGCTGTTGGGTTTTAAATTCCATTTAAGTGCAGCAAATGCATATCTTGTTATGGTTTTCTTGTATTTTCATTTTACTCTGATCATTATGGAACTTATGTGCTGTTTTAAAAATTCTTCCCATACAAATTTAAATAAAAAATGTAAATTTAATTGAAGTACATTTGGTTATCAGAATACAGTATGTGTAGTAAAGGACAAACATGCAATTTTCAACAGATTTTTAGTTTTTTTATATGTTTCTGGAATGCTGCTGTAGTAGTGTAGTAGTGGAAAATCAAGAACCTTGTCATTAAAGTGAATTATAAAACCTTTTTATTTGTCATGTGTCATGTGTATATAATTATCTGTACCTATCAAACTACAGAGTGAAATAAATATCAAAAACTTCCACTGAGAAATTATTTATTTAACCTGTAACAGCATCGCAAGAGTTGATTTCAAATAGGGGTCTCAATCGGCCGATTCTAGATCGATTCCGATTCGGGATCCCGGGATCTCGGCCGATTTTTGATACCTAGAAATCCCGGGACTGGTGTGTTTTAATCCCGGGATTAACGGGATTGCAAAACCTATGTTTATATTGATTTTTTTGTGAATTTTAGGACTTTTACTTACGGAAAATTAATGACAAATAGTCCAATAACACTTGAAACACATATACTCTTTATTTTTAGGACGATTATATGAAATGGTATAAGTAATGGTCTTTTTTTATTGGAAAATTTAATTATCATTAAACTCAAATTGGCGAACAAATGTAGGCCTAAATATATGTTTCAGTTTTTAGACGATTTGGATTTACTTTCTGTAATTGTTATTACAATATTTAGAACTTAATTACAGTAGGCCTATAAGTTATTTTGAGTTTTACTTTTGACATTAAACGTAAACAACGCAATTCGTGTAGCAAACATAACATTGCAATCGGAAATTTAAGTATTATTTTCATGGAAGCTATAAAATATACCTATAAACACACGATTATAATCTCATTATTAAGATTGCTTATATTTAGGGTCTATAACTTTTATCTTCGTATTTGGTTATTAGTGTGGTGATTAAATTTCTTACAATCCAAAATTACGTTTTTCATACACACGCTACTACATAAGCATATGGTTTATTGTTTTACAGTATCACATATTGTTTTATTGCTGTAAGTCCAAATAACATTTTACGCTGCTACTCGTGATTCTTCCCATTTTATCTTTTTCTCTTGGCTATCTTTAATCTATCTATTAGCGTGAACGTGACGTATAGCTTACGTGCGAGTGCGGTTGCTCGTGATTTTTTTAAATGTATTTATTATATTCTAGAGTGACATAATCAACATTTATACACTGTAAATAAGAAATACGGGCAATGAAAGTTCCACGTGGTAATATTTTGTAACTTAGAAAATGGAAACATTGCGCAGTGTAACACTGGCCAAAGTTTGAACATTAAAGTACTCAACAAGGGGACTTCTTGCTCGTTTAAAATGGCTAAAAAGTTTAAAATCATAATATTATATAATCCCGGGATTGATCCCGGGATCCCAGGATCGGCTGAGAAGAATCCCGAAATCCCGGGATTGGATTGAAGGCCCGGGATTGAGACCCCTAATTTCAAAATAGGATATCTAAAATTTTGGTACATTACATTAATATTAGTACTAGTAATATTAGTACATGTTGGGTTTTCAATTTTGACTGATAACTATTTGATTAAATCAATCAATTAATCAATAAAAAACTTTATCGTGTTAGCCTACAAGTTTTTACATGTAAATAGCGTCAAGTAAATGTACAGTACAGTAGAACCTCGCTAATTTGAATTTCAGAGGAAAGCCAATATATTTCGAATCATAGGAAGTTTGAAATATAGAGAGTTTGAATTATAGAGGTCAGAATAAATACAATTCAAATTATTGAGGTCCCAGTTTTAAGTGTAGAGAGTTTGAGAGAACGGAGACTAATGAACACATCGTGGGAACATCAATAAGAGCGTCAGTTCATGTTTGAATATGCATATTTTTATGAATTATGACAACAAAATTAAAATTGTAGAGGCTCAAGTATGTGCAAATTCAAATTGTAGAGGCGACATCAAGCGTAAAAATCACTTTGAATTATCGGTATATTATTTTTTGAATTTTAGAGGTGTTCTGAGGGGAACAGACAAACATTTATAATTATAGAGGTTTTCGAATTATCGAGGTTTGAATTTTTGAGGAGACAAACATTTATAATTAGAGGTTTTCGAATTATCGAGGTTTGAATTTTTGAGGTTCTACTGTATTTGGAATGAATAACCTGATACAGTAGTACCATTAATTATGAATTTATTTCTAGATTTAAAAGAAAATTTGGGATGAACGGATTTCTCTTCTTAGATGGAGCAGCAAGTGAAACGTCCCTTTAATCATTGAACTGGTCTGTTTATCATATCATCTTTCAGCTTTTACTAAATCTACCAACTTTTGTTTTCTCTTTCTTTAATGGATTTTGACAGATGATTGTCTTCATCAAGAACTGGTAGTATTCGGGTTATACTGAATTCAAATAGAAAAAAATTCACCAATATTTATGAATTTTATTTTCTTGAGGCCTTTTACCGGCATCACACATCAATAAAAAAAAAACTTAGAATAATTTTCGTTGAGAAGAAAAGGACTTTGTTGATCTTATGACTGATATAGCTAGCTTACTGAGCGTGAAATTAATATCAACACTTAACATACATGGACTGTTTTTCAAATGGAAATTCACTTAGTCGGCAGGTTTGCTGCGGCGTGGGTATTTATCTTAAAAGTGTGATAATGATGTAAGTTATTACTTACCTTATCACAGGATGTATTTAAGCTGCATATCATTTATCATGGTCTGTTATTGTGGAGTAGTAGGTACAATTATATTTATTCACTTTCAAAAAATTGTAGGAATTATTGTCAAAACAAAAACAATGATATTCAATAACATAATAACTAATTCAACTAAATACAGCTGTCAAAATTATGTAAAATATATAAAAAGAGTGCATACAAGTTGTAAAATCTATCCTTGATTAATAAGAGTGAAACATTGAGTTGACGCAAGTGCATTCAAACGGCACCAACACGAAACGCTCATCACTTATCAACACTGACTTGCTCTACTTTCCCTTAAGCAGCTTATAGACGGGGACAGTAGGGACGGCAAGTAGCGGGTTTCCTTTCCAGCGGCAAGTATTTGCTGGCGGCAAGAAAACTCAAACATGTTTGATTTTACTGCCTGGCCGCAGTAAGTAGGGGGTCACAAGGGTGGTTACGTGACCACTCGCGGCCAGAACTTTCCTGTCAAAATGTGTACTTGCCATGCACTTGCCGCCAGTAGAAGTGGCAAGTGAAATTATAGTTGATCAGTTGAGTTAGGACTATGTGGTATGTTTGGGGGACTTTAATATAGATTTATTATCTAACTTCTGCCCTGAAGCTAAATTTCTTTGACGTCACCTAAGCTTCCATAACAGTATACAGCACATCACTGAACCGACTAGGGTCACTGACATCTCAAGTACTTTGATTGATCGTGTTATTACAAATAATTCATTGCAGTTAAAGAGATGTGGCGTTATTGATACTTCAGCTGTACTTGACTATAGAAATAAGAAAATCACTGACTATAAACTAGTTTATTGTGAATTAGAAGTAAAAAAAGATAAATCTATGGTTAAGTTCGTAACATACAGAGACTTTTCAAATTTTAAAATAGAAGACGCAATTTCAATCTTACAGAATATCGAATGGGAAGTAGTAATTGACATGACCAACGCTAGTCAAATAAATTCATTCATTTGCTCTGCTATAAAATATATTTATGATAAACAATTAAACATGCACCGCTTGTAACAAAGAGAGTGACAAAGAAAAAAGCACCTTGGAGAAATAATGAAATCATTATGTTAACAAAAATTAAAAATAAATTTAAGGAGGAAATTTTCAAGCTCGGGACAGAATGTAGACTGGGTAGATTATAAAAAAGTTAGAAACAAACTGAATAGGGCTGTATGGAAAGCAAAAAGAATTTTTTCTCAGAAAAACTGGCAGACTGTAAAGATACGAGAACTTTTTGGAAATGCCTTAGTGATAAAGTAGCAGGAAAGGGCAGAAATAATTTACCAAATGATTTTAGGGTCAGTAAAATTAATTTTTTGTAAAAATGGGATCATTTTTTGATTTGGGATGCAGATTTGATTAGATTATATAATGAAGATACACGTTATGTAAATAAATTCCAGTTTATAAAAATATCAGTATCAGAAGTGAGAGAAGCTATTAATGAAATTACCTCTAGAGCTGTCGGTGTTGATGACATAAGTATTGCAATGATAAAAGCCGTCAGCCCTTATGCCATTGGTGCAATAACTCACCTTATGAATATGTCTCTTGTAAACAGTGAATTTCCACACGCGTGGAAGAAAAGTATGGTACATCCATTGCCCAAAAAACAGATTCCTTCAAACTTTAATGATTTAAGGCCAATATCAGTCTTGCCTGCTATGTCCAAAGTGCTGGAAAAATTAGTAATACGCCAAATAACAGAATTTTTAGATGCAGAGAATCTGCTTCCCAAACTGCAATCAGGGTTCAGAAAGAACCATAGCACTTGTACTGCATTGATGAATATGTTTGCAGACTTGTTTGGGGCGAGGAGCGGGGGCAAGTGTAGCTCTGTAGTAATGCTTGATTTTTCACAGGCCTTTGATTCCATAAGCCATGGTTTGCTCCTAGCAAAATTGAAACATTTTGGTTTTCATTGCAATGCTATTGCTTGGTTTAGATCTTACCTGGAAAACAGACTGCAAGTGTCCAGGGTGGGTACCGATATCTCACCTCCCCTAGAGAAATCAAAGGGAGTGCCTCAGGGGAGCTGTCTGGGGCCCATTTTGTTTACCCTGTACACTGCAGATCTGTCCAGATGTGTGAGTCACTGCAATGTGCATTCATATGCCGATGACTGCCAATTGCATTTCTCCTATGAGATTCAGGCCACTGATCAAGCTTTTGCAGGAGTGAACTCTGATCTGGTGAGAATAAGTGAGTGGTCACGCAAACATGGTTTAAAATTGAACTCTGAAAAATGCATGATTCTTCATATTGCTACACCCCTACTCTTCACAGAGTTGCAAATGGAGACATGCACGTTCAAATCGCAGGAAACCCTCTAATGGTGAGGGATACCGTCAAGACCTTGGGTGTGGTACTTGACAGAGGCCTCACTTTCTCGGACCACGCCACTTATGTTTCCCAGGTGGCTTTGGGAAGGCTGCGTGGTCTGTACCGGTACAAACACATTCTTCCAGAGACAGCTAAGCTGCAGCTGGTACAGTCACTAGTGT